CTATTTGGGATACCAGACCATTTAAAACAGGCTTAAAAAAAAGTCACACATGGTTTATCGGCTGTAAAACCAAATGTTTTATGTTGTTAATCATTATTTATCCATTGTTTGGTTTTAGGATTTTGGTTACTGAAGCCAGTGTTTGTGGGTCTGGAGAACTTGCTGCTTTTTATTGCTTGAAATTGCAAATAAACACAAGGATGTTCACTATTACAAAAATGTCAACAGCATTTTCTCTTCTAATTTTCTTTGCCATACTGTGAGTTGACAGAGATTTTAGAAACTTGAGACCTCCTCCTATATAAGAGAATCAACTTTCTCTAATTTATGATAACATTTCTTTAGAAATTCTTGCTGCTAATCTGACAAACAACTAACTCAGAAAATGTGTATTTAGTCCCCAACTCCCTCACACAAATTATGTCTAGTGGTTCCTGTCACACAGGGCAGGAATGTGAAGGCAAACCGACGTCAATGCTTCAATTTTGCATTAATATTTCAATTTAGTGCAGGAATGGCAGGCGGAGAAAGGGGAGAGTCACATACACACTCAGACAACAGGGTGAAAAAGAAAGGAAGACTGATGGTACACACTTTTATCATGTCTGGGTCCAGTGGACCTAAACCTCCTGGGTGTGATATAAATGTGTAGGGAGGTGAGGGGGTTATCATTTTTTTCCCTTGTTTGTTCCTAAAAGAAAATGAGCCAAGGAAAAAAAAAAAAAGAGTCTGAGTTTGAAAAAAAAATGCTTTTTTCTTTAATAAAACAGATAGCAGGTCTCACAGACCAAAACAAAGGGTTGACTAAATAAAATCATCCCTTCCATAGATGTGACTGAGATGTCATAATCGGTGTCAGCCTATTGCAAAGAGTTACATAGAGCTACGGTAAATAGGGTAAATTTGTCTTGTTGGGTTTGCTGGTGTTTTGAAAAAAAAAAAAAAAACCTTATTGACTTCCTAATAACTTGAAAATCAGAAAACATTAATAAATTCAGGAAATGTAGAGAACAAAGACGGACTATAATAGATGGATTTTTTTGTTCCATATACCTAGTCTACTAGAAACTAGAAACAAAATAACCACATCATCCACCTACAATGCTATATGATCAGCAAGCAAACAGACTGGTGTGTCTGCATGAACCAGCTAGCACAAACACAAAACATAGTGCAAGGTTAAACTTCAAATGGATTCAAACTTCAATAATCCATTTCTTTCTTGGGGCTGCACAGTGGTGCAGTTGGTAGCACTGCTGCCTTGCAGCAAGAAGGTTCTGGGTTTGAATCCTGGTTTGGGTGACTTTGTGCATGGAGTTTGCATGTTCTCCCTGAGAATGCGTGGGTTCTCTCTAGGTACTCCGGCTTCCTCCCACAGTCCAAAAACATGACGGTTAATTGGCTTCTCTAAATTCTCCTTATGTGTGTCTCTGTGTTGTCCTACGATAGACTGACGACCTGTCAAGGGTGAACTTCCCCTCTCTCTTGACCCCAGCAGGGATAAACGTGGAAGAAAATGGATGGATTTGATTCTAATCCCTAAATTTACGAATTCTTTCTTTTTAGTTTCAATTCAATCTTAATTTGCATTGCTGGAATAACATTTTTATTTTTTTTCTACTGTTACCTAAATTACAGTGTAGTTATGCAACATATGAAAGTATAACATCCACATTCAACAACAAATCAATGCAAAGTAATGGAAGTGAAATTTAATATGAGTCGGAATTTTCAAACTCTCAAGTTTACTGTTAAAATGAGTTTTTTAAGCTGATCCATGTTTGTATGAATCCATCTATATGAGTTAATATGAAAATCCATCCAGAATCAGAAAAATACGTATTTTCTAATTTAACACATCCCCTAGTGCGAGGTATGTTTTATGTTGTATCACACACGGAGCCAACACAGCACCTGATACAGTTCTGTTCAGTTCACACAATGGCTGTGGGGCCTCTACTAAGTGTAAGTATATAACAGTGCATTAATATGGCAGATGTAGGATTACAGTGTCACATGGTGGTGATGAAGTAGAATAAAAATAGCAATGGTCAGAAATCAAATGTAAACGTCACATGAATCAGATTCAAGTGGTTTGAAGAAGTTCTGAAGATGTTCATGACCTTCATCGCTGTTTGTTTTATCCTCTTCTTAGCGTGAATCATTGCATCAACAACCCTTTGCATCAGTAACATGTACTCTTTGTCTGTAGTCTTTAAGTTCAATACAGTTTATTTATATAGTGCCAGTTCACAATACACGCCATCTGAAGGCACTTTACAGAAACAATGTAGTCTGAAAACGTTCTTATTTAAAGAAAACCAGCTGATTGGATTCAAGTTAATGAATTTGCAGAATTCACTTCTTATAGACTAGTGTGTAAAGAAAGTAGATATTTGATGGAGTTTTTTTATTTACTGAAGCAATCCCACACACAAAGCATGCATGCAGCTAAAGTGGGGGTCAATGAGAGAAGCAGACTTACAAGAGCAGCATAGAAGCATTGATCCATAAGTATTTTCTGTTATAAAAAGTAACATAGGTAAAAAATGTATCTGACTTAATGAGAACTTTTCAGAATCCAAGACAGAAGAGGTTAAAAGTTGTACATCTAACACTGGAGTCCATAAACTAACCCGGATCATACATCTCTTCTGTCTTACTGCCTCCTGTGGCAGTGAGTGACCCACATTTTCACTACACAGAAATTAACACCTAGGCATTTTCACATCCTGTATTAAAATAAAAAAAAGAAAATTATTTTCACTTGAGAATCCAGTTATCTTTATAATAAAGAAAAAAAGAATCATTTTTGGATCCTTCAGCTAATTTTACTACATGAACATAGAGATAAATCACCAGAAATGAAGACTCTTTAATGGTCATGTCAATCCTCATACCTTAATACCATAATAAACTTGGATGGTGTGCATAGAGTGAAGTGGAAGAATCTATTGAGAGCTGGGAAAACATTTTTACCATTCATTTTATTAAAAACGTATATTTGGGGGGATTTTTGTGCATCCCCGCCCTGTAAGGTCTTAAGATGTAATCAAATTAATGTTTTTATTGTAATATTAGGCTACTAGAATCTAGTTCAATCAATCAAGGATTTTATTTTTAGGTTTAACTGGGAGGTTTGTGGGGATCTGAAGAGGGAATACTACAGTAATGCAAATAGGAATTTATTTTGGCAGTTGTTTTTTTAATCTCTAAGTCAGTTTAAAACATATGTTCAACTGAATTAGCTTTCAGATCATCTGTTAATGTTTGACTAAAGAAAAACACCTAATAACAAAACTAAACAGGAAGTGAGTAGATTATTCCCATCAGTTTTCGTCCTTAAAAATATGGATTCCTTCAAAATCACAGACATAAATCTTAGTTTCTTTTTTTTCCCTTTCTTTATAGTTGTCAAGGTGATTAAGAGGCTCCTTCCACAGAACATTGCTTCCTTTTTTTGTAAAGTCTCCTAATTGTAAATGTGTTTATTATCGTGGCTTTAATTTTTAGAAGTTTTCTGGACAGCAGCGCCTCAGTTCATCACCTCCTTGCTGTTTCTGCTGTTTCTTTGACCTCACTTTTGAGTGAGGGATGGATTTAAAGACTGCCGCCCTCCTGAGACATTTTGAAAGATAAGTGCAGCTTTGGATGAAATGAGAGGCTATCCATCATAAGCCAAGGCTGGTTGGCTGACAGCCTGAGATGCTCCAGAACATCTAAACTTATTTCTCTAGGTAGAGGTTTCTATGTAGAGGTTTGTTATTGTTTTGTTAAACTAGTTATACAGTTCTTCTTTTTTTTTTTTAAGAGATTTAAATAAGTAAAAGACTGCAACCCTAAATAGGTTTAACAATAAGTATATTTTGTGTGATTAACTACTCTTAAATCTGGCTTCACATGTGGAAAATGTTCTTTTAGATATGTTTATATATCACAGAGATTTTTAGAGCTTATTAAGCTATGTTAGGCTGTCTGTTTAATGAGTTCTCATTTATTCTCAGTGCCTCAGAGGTCTGCTGCTTGGTGAAGAACCATCATGGCTGGGATTAAAGCAAGCAGGTCTGCCCCCTACTGCCCTAACAAAGCATGTATCTTTATTCCACACAGCTGCAATGAATTGTCCTTGAGAAATCCAGGATTTTCTTTTTGGATTTTAGGTAACTACACAAGCCCTGAGGTGCCCAATGTTTACTAAATAATCAATTTGAGAATTTTCTTATAATTTCCCTACTTTTTAATGATTCTTGTGGTTAAAATTGACCTCCTTCTCTCACATCGTGTTTGAATCCGAGATCTAATTTTTAGAGATAGGTAGTAATTATTTTTGCATAACTAATGAACTAGAAGTAATATCTGTATCCAGATATCTGGACTGACAGATAAAGACATTGAAATATAAATGCATAATTGACAAAAATGTGCATGCATGGATAAATTAATAGAATAAACATAAAGATGAATGGATAGCTGGATATACAGATTGATTCTGTAAAAATAATAAAAAAAATAGGGGTCATAAATGGTTACTTTCTCATGTCCTTCAGCTCCAGTCACATTCTGAATTTACCATGTTTCATATTTAAAACCAAGCCAGACCCATTTGCCTTAAAGTTAACAATGATTTTAATTGTAAAAATACTACATAGATTCATTTCAATGCATTTTTTCTGTATAATAACAGTCAAGGGTTATTGTAATTTCTTTCTCCCCTTGTTAATGACCCCCTCCAGTTTGCAATTGTGACCACAAGGGG